ATATAAAATGGGTTTTTATAAAAAAAAAAAAAAAAAAAAAGAATGGAATCAACCCATAAAGAAGTAACTAAAGTTTATAATTTTACACATCTATTGCAGCAAGCAATTTGGTTGCTGACAAAGAAATCCCAATAGCAGGGATCTCTTTAGCCTGGTTGTGTAGTGCCATCTAGTGGTAACAATCAAGAAGACATCAAAATTCATCTAATGGGAATGTAAAATGATTTTCTTTACAGATATTGTACATGTAAAAGAGATTAGCTGGATGTTAATAATGTACTCAATGTATGATCACAACAAATGTGATAAATCTGGAGTAATGTTTGGAAAAACCAATAAATAAATATATAAACAATCAATGTATGATCTGTTTATATGTATTGTTTTATAATTATAACTGGAGGAGGCCATATTTTCTATTTACACTCAGGCTGCAGTGCTATCAAATAAATGTGCGTAACGTAATGTAGATATATGAGTCTGTGAGCCATATATAGCTAATAACTAACCTTGATAGTTCGGCAGCTTGCCAGAGTCATTGGAGGGGCTAATCTGTCCTGCCTCTAATGGCTAGTCTACAAATCTCTACAATATAACAAAACTAAAAAAAAAGTATGTTAAAATAAACGTCTTCTTTATATTTTGCTAATCATTTAATTCTGGCTGTACCCTATACAGCAAATAATTAAATCTTGTTGAGTGGTACCAGCTTTGAGTCCATATTGCTCACACCTATTATGTTTTAGACCAGAAGAGGGGAGAGACCATTGAGCTCCAGAAACGCGTTGGTTGTTCTGTGTTGTTTATGAACCAGTATTGTCATTAAAAGTTTTGAACTCTTATACCATTTTGTTTGCTGCTCTCATTGGACTTTGTACATGTGAAAAATTACTTTAAGACAAGCACTACTATAACTCAAAACATGTCCCAAATGAAACTACGTCGTACTTTCCCTCTAAAGTTTATAGTGCCTGAATACTAAAAGGTAGAGTAGATAACCCTGTTCATCATTTTGATTACACTTTTTAGTGATGGTTGATAAGTTAAAGGGGAAATAAACCCTCCGATCCTTTTGCAGTCCAGGACAGTGCCATCTTAACCTCTATTTAGATCTGGAGATGCCATGGTGCTGCACATGTACCAGTTAAAACACTAATCATTTGAGGGATTAATTCGTTCAGTTGCGAGCAGACATAAACACTGTGCTAATTGTAACAGCAGTACTTTTCTTAAAAAGCGCATTCATCCAGGGTAATGGTTGCTGATATAAACATATTACTGTACACAAAAGTGATTGGTCCTCTCTTAAGAATAAATGCACTTTAAACCAAAGTGCACCTATCCTTTTTGCCCCCCCCCCCCCCCCCCCCCCCGGCGCCACACCCCCC